GTATTCTTTTCTTTCCGCTTTGCGTTCTTGTCCTCTCCCTCTTTGCACTTCTCATGCAGTGAAATGGTGGTTGCTAGTACAATGCATTTGGATCTGAGGGGAATTCGTTTTGCTTGGATAATCTTGACAAACAGAATGGCAACACACATATACATGCACAGAGGTATGCAGGGATGCCATTTTGGCTGAAAATGTGTTATTGCTAGGATAGACTATTGTCTTCCCCCAAATAGCATGCACGGTTGCTATAGCTGCCGTTTTGCAATTTTCAGGCAAGGGACAGGTATGATGACCCCACATTCTACTTCAAGGAAGACGGTGGATGCCTTGGACCAATTGGTCCTCTTGTTTGGGGCCTGACCCACTCATGTTTAGAAGGGCGGAAATAGCCTACTCAAGTTTAGAAGGGCGGAAATAGCCTACTCAAGTTTAGAAGGGCGGAAATAGCCTACTCTAGGTTGGAAATCCCAAGACAGGTGGGTTAGTGACCGTTAGTCAGAGTTGACCTCTCTGGATCTCGGCAGCTGCACAGTGTACCTACCACTGCAGCTGTCTGTCTGAAATGCACAGGAACATTCTTACACAGCTAGCATTGGGGTTTCCAGACTCAAATGGGCTTGGTGTGAGCTTTTGCCTCTGCAATGTCTGCATTCATTTATGGACAGTCGAGAAGATCACAAATGGCAATCTCTGCAAAATCCAGTTATGGCATGACATCAGCAGCAGTGTGTCTGCGGCGCAACAACCTGAACGGATCCAAAATCAAAGCATATTTAAACCACAAGTACACGGCCCCAGCCTTGCAGTCCGAAACTTGTCGCCACAAGAAAACAAGGCCGAAACGTCAAACGCTGGGCCCGCCATTGATAAATTTAATCGGCGGCCGTATTTTCGTTTTGCGCCTCCAGAATTTGAGGTGTCAGACTCGCGGTCTGGGGCCCATGTACTGGTGCTTTAATCCTACCTATTACAGACAACGAAAGCCCTTGAGTTCAAACAACCAACAATGAAACAGTTTCACCTCGATGGCAAGCAACATGAAGTACAATAGGTGCATGTAAACCCCTTTCTTGAATGTGTTCACATTTGCTTTCTTTGGGGTAGCCCTTTCATTTGCTCTTGTAGCGCCCCCTTTACCATGCCTCTCATGCACAAGGCTCTCCACGTTGATTGTGGTTGAGCGCGAGCCGCCCACGTCCCCGTGTGCCAAAACGGCCCACTTTCACACTATGAAAGGAGGCAGAGCAGCGGTGGAGGTACATTCCTGTTCATTTCTTCTCAGATCTTCAACTTATATTTTGTCTGCTCTCGTAATGATGCTCATTCGTATGTATTACTAGTAATACACAAGAGGAGGGAGGGAAGGAAATGGGAGGTGGAGTTCTGACACGGTTCTAAATAGTGACCGCTGGGGCAGACCACTCTAGAATGGCCCATGAGGCCAGTCAGTGTGCGAGTTGCATAAGATTTGAGGAGCAGTTGTTGCCTATGGTAAGTGGCCACCTCTACAGAGCGGGCAGGACCGGTTTGGGTGTTGCTTGTGGAAGCACCGCGTCCAATTCTCACAGTCACAGGTACTGCATCGAATGGCACGGCGTAGACAGATGTCACAGGCTACATGGCTCCTACATGCTAGGAACACAGAGGCACGCCGCCCGCAATTGTAGAGGCATTGTCATTCCAGCCCCTGTCTACAAATTGGACCTGACATGTCAGGGTGCTGTACATGAGTGCAGTTTCTTGGCATAAGGCACGTGAACCGCATGCTAGCTTCATCTCCAGTGGGCCATCACAAAGCGGCATGGAGCAAGTTTCTTGGGTTTCCTCAGTATTTATTCCCTCTCTATGGGTAGACGGCGATGGGGGAGATTAATCCAAAGCAAAGGCGTTCAGCTGCTGCAGGATTTGGTCTGCAAGAGCTCTCCGTGGTGGAGACAACCTATCAGTACAGCACTCTGTAGCTGGTTCATATGGTAATCTATTTTCCTCCTCAGGCTGCTGTGCCTGTCGTTCGTCAGGCAAGGAAGAACGAATTCCGACTGAAATTGCAGTACGTGTATGACCAACACCGCATGTGGGACATGCTAGGAGAGGATGTGGCGGATGATGGCACCGGGGATAGTCCACACAGTAGAGACACATACTTTCTATGGCAGCTTCCTGGAAATATTGACGGCACATGGCATGTTGCTGGCATGTCATCAGCAAAGAAGGCTGACACGGCAGATCAAGGCCACAAACGGCATGCTGGGCGAGTAATGAGGGGGCGGGGGGGGTTGAGTACAAGACAAAGGATTGCAGCTTTCGTGGCAGAGGCTGGCAGCGACCATCCCTTCATAGTGGGAAAGAAGGAGGCTCAGCCCGATTGCTCTCCGAAGGCAGTCGTGCTTGCAAGTGCTCATCGCCATACTGTTCCTGATGGACGAACCAGACCGAGTGATTTTCTACCGCTTGGTGATAGAAAGAGTTGATATTTACCGCTGTGTGCACCCTGCCGCTATTGTCCCATAGGGCCCATGAGTTATCTGCAAAGGTAAGAGCGCTGAACTGACCTGCACGATGTAAGATGTATGCCCGAATCTTCGGATCCATGGCTGGCACGTGATTTTGCGGAGTAGGCTGGAGTTGTAGTCGCCTACCCATAAATGCCATAGACAGGACTTCTATGTCCACGCCAGGTGCAGTACTGTCGTCCTCCAGGCAGACGGCACGGTGCTATTCTTCTATCCAGCAGAGAACGTCTGCAAAATCAGAAACAGTATAAGAGTCGCAATTGTAGGCAAGGAGACACATTAATGGCATAGTACGCACAGCGCCCTCGCTGCAGCACTTTGACATCATCCGATTCTGCAGGTTGTGTGGCAGGGGGAGGTTTAGTACGCACAGTGCCCTCGCAGCATTGTCAGGCGAGAGGTAAGTGGGGAGAGAGAGAGAGAGAGAGAGAGAGAGAGAGA